ATACATGCTTGTCGCTCACGAACGAATGGGACAGCAGACATGAAGAAATACTGCCTGCAAAGAGATTCCAAAGTTTGTTTCCTTAAGTTCTATATGTTTTGTTCCTTGACGATTCTTTGGATTCAAGGTACGTTATCTTTGTAAGTAGCCTGAAGTAAGCAATTCCTGTATACTTTATAAGTGTCAGTTAAATTGTTTCCCTTCAAACCTTACTCTTTAGAAGGTGAAAATCTCTGTTACTTTATCTTTATTGAAATTTAGAAATAAACTTAATAAATCTAGGCTCCACAGCAAGTATGAAGAAAACAAGGGTAGTCATTTATCAAATGACTGCGGACAAGAGAGGATATCCTCTCTTGCAGCAGATGAAAAAGTAACTGCATATAAATAGTTCGGTGTTTTCGATCTGAACACTTTAAACCCACAAGTTTTATTTTCCATAAATGTATTACTGGCAATACAAAAAGTAGGTTCCATTTATACTAGTACCGTTCAGGAAATGAGTCCTCACCCCTCTTCCTCCTTCCTCTTCTCGGGGAGGAAAAAGAGCTGAGGAAGTCGAACCTAAACAAAAAAATACTAGGATGAGAAAGATGTTTATTCAGTCAGTGACACATTTGGCTGGGAAGAAAAAAATCCGAATACTTGCAATAGGTGTCCTTAGCTATTACCTTCTTTTACTATGGTAAGTTCAGATTCTCTACCACTAATTAAGCTACTTGAGACTCGTGGGAGCTAAGACCATTAAACTAGGGTCAATACAACACAAGGATGTCGAATCGATCCAAGCAAGTACAAAGATAGTCTAGGGGTTAGTTGTTGGATAGCATAGCTAATAAAGAAGTTACATAGCCAAATTATAAATGGTTTAGCTAAACATTTAAACTAAGTCTTTCTCGGACCGATGTCTATCTATCTATCCTCTGGTTTACTTTAAGAAAATAAATGCTTTTCTTGTCTAGTCTGTATGCTTTCAAGAAATTGCATGGTGTTTAGATAAAAGCCTTGGGCAAAATGAAAATGGCTTAGAACGCGGTTTTGTTATTGAATGGCTAAACTCTGTTTAAATAGACGGCCCAAATAGTTTAGCCGGCCCGTAATGAATGATCTAGCGGCCTATGTCGAGTTGGAACATGAAATTATTGTAAAATGGTCTTGTCCGAATGTGTATAGCCTACCTCTCATTTACAATAGATCATAAAACAAAACGAAATGATGCTGACAAACCGAGAACGGGTTTAAGTTCTCGAAGAATTACGTCAATTGTCCACACCGTAATTTTTAGGGAATTATTATAACTCCAAAAATGGAGTAAAAATTTTAGGTACAAGATAACCCCTTTTTTGGGGTTATTTTAACTTCTAATTTAACTCCGACTTTGGGATCATTTTTAGTCCTGAAAAAGAGTTCTTTTACTCCCAGTCTGGAGTTCAAATCACTCCGAAATGGGGTTACTTTCACTCCTTGCAGCGTGACGTAACGACTTCTCCTCTCTATTGGCAAATGTTTTGAAGACATTCTTAGTGGCGGAGCGTCAAGTGTCGGCTGTACTTACGTACTAGTCACTAAGCGATCCTGAACAAGGTGTCGATGCCAAGTAACTGGTTCTCATCAGAGCAGGTGACTAATGTGGGATGGGTACATATAGAAATTTCTACAGAGGCTTTTCGGCTTTTGGTTGTCCCTTGTTTTAAAAGAAATCATGGTACCTGGAAGGTCCTTTAACTTGCCTGCATCCAAATGTCTTTACAGGTCAGTGGCAGATCCAAGGGAGGGGCCCGGGGGGTCCGCCTCCCTTACAACGACCATGTAACTTTCCTATGACCATTGTTGCCTCGGTCGCCTCGGGCATCAGTCGTCTCAACCAGCCCACTTACATCGTTTCCCCTAAGGTTTAACTCCCCAAACTGATTCTGTTTGAGAGTGATGCCCTTTTCTACTGCATTTCCAATTGGAATCAAGTTGAATACTAGTTAAAACGTATTGTCGAATAAAGATAGTAGAATTAGCGGCGTTCAGAGTTGGTGTTCGGGAACTGTGCCTGAGCACGGTACTCTCGGGACACTAACGTGATCACACTCTTTTTTCATATACCCACGCTAAGAATTCGGGCAGGGTGCCAGTGCCCACGACGTACATGGTAGTGACCTAGTTCTCGGGAACTAATGGTCACCGGGTCCACATCCTTTCTTTCGCTCCGAGACAAAGTACTGTTTTGTATCCTCTGCTACACTCCTTTTCCAATGACGTCTGACAGGGCGAAACTGAGCAAATATGGGCGAAAATGAGCAAATATGTACACAATGATATAGGGTACCCAAGGTCTAACCAATGCCATTTTGGGCCGGTAGCTTAACACAGTCTAATTCTCGGATACCAAGTTTGAACATCCCCTTATTCATTGAACTTAATAATTAACCGCATATAAAATTTATTCCTGAAATATCTGAGCCAGAAAAACGTTTTTCTAGATACGCATATCCCAGCGGAGGAAAAACATAGAATTAATCCTAAATGTTCGTGCTCACTTCAAACCAAACCAACAAACACTTTATCAAACGCGCATTTCTCTTCATACCACCCTCCAGGATAGAAGAGAGAATTTACATAGGCAATGTTCCACAGTTACTAAGAGCAAACTCTTCCGGGAAAACATTTGAAAAGAATATAAACAATCCAATCTAAATTCAAACTGACATTTTATCCCAATGTGCGTCGTGTATCGTATACAATCTATCATCACTGATTTTCACCCTTCACTCTTTCTAGATTGCGAATTCCCTCTCCCCTATTTTGTAGGTTTTTCCTTCACCCTCCCTTTTATTATTTGGTCGTTTCTTCTTCTCCTCTAAGATAAGATTTAAAGTCACGACCAGCGGATTTAAGCTAATATTACAATAACAAAACGGATTCCTCAGTTATGTTCAAGTTATTGCTCTATAGCTTTGGAAAAAAAGTTGAGCGCGTAAATAGGTTAGGGTTAGTCTCTTAAACTGTTGAAAGAGACGGCCGTTTATACTGGGACGCAGTCATTCAGGCATAGGGGGTAATTAGGAAACAAAACAATGAACAAAAACTCGTGTGGCTTTTGGGCGGCATTCCCCGTGGAGCAGATCGAGGGCTCGTACAATTAAGTGAATGAGAGTCACACAGTTTACGCTTTATCTCTAATATGAGAGATCTACAATTTTTGCCCCACTGTAAGTGTAATGTGTAAATTTGGCTGTGCCATTTCTTTATTAGCTAATAGTATGTTATCCTGCAACTAACCCGTAATTCGTGTTTGCTAATCTATTTGACATCCTTGTATTCTTCGTCATTGCTTTCCATACAATTCCTCCTGGGTTTAATAATCTACTCCTCAAAGGGTTCTGGAATCTTTCTCGTCTTGTGGCAGCTTGTCATAGTTTGGAAAAGCTAACTCCAGCAACATCAAAATGACTTCAAAATGGGCTAGATAGTGATTTGTCGAAGGACTCTTCAAAAAATGGAGAGGAAATACAGCATAAACAGCAAGATTTAACCTCCCTAAAGTAATTTATTGTTTTGACTGGTATTTGCTAGTGCTCTGATTTTACACTCGGTGCACGCAACCCGCAACAATCATACATGGCCTCGGTTAGTAACGTTTACTCAGATAGTCACACCCCCTTAAGGAAATGTACACAGAGACTGAAAGTTTGTTTAAGAGAGACTGCGGATGTTTGATAAGAGTGTTCACAAAAATGTTTGAAAAAACAAACAAACGAGCAAACAGACAAAGATTTCCGGTAGTCTTTTTTTTTTTCTATAGGCGTGTCACCCACAAGAGGCATGAACTGTGAAATAACCGCGCAAACTTGTCAACCCCCCTTTCAGACGATAACAGTAACGCCGAGAGACTCTAAAGTGACTCTATATTGCTCGATTAAGACTGGTGGAAAATTGCAAGACATGACCTGGCAGAACCTTGAAAGAAACCTCAATGCCAGTAAAGGTCTATACTTACTACAAAGCTATTCGACAGATGTAAATCAGTCACGTGGATGTTTCTCTATAAAATACGCTAGTGAGCATTTTCTCCTTTTTCCTCTTTTGTATTTCATGGTTTATATAAAAACATCATGATGGATAATTTTTGGTCTTCTTTCTACATGTATTATGAATGATCCCTGAAGACCTCGTAGGTGGTAGCCTCCCACGCAGGCGTTTTTAGGGGAGCTCGTATTTCTTCCCTCCCCACAAACGCCTGCTCAACAGAAAACAACATTCCTTTCTCATTGTTTTATTTGCGTGGTAAGTGACCAATCAACAATTGTGCAATAAAGTGTTGACAGGCTAAACACGACTGAACGTGACCCTAGAGTTACCGTTTTCCTTTTTTTCTTCCCTTCGTTAAGGTTATGCAGTGCACGGAGTATTCTGAATTTTGACTAAATCTTATTTTTGCCACTCTGAATCTAACATTTATTGCAGGTCAGAAAGCTTTCGCAGTGTTTAATGCAGATCGAGTAATTATCACATTACCTTGCGGTCAAGGTCAACTTTCCAGAATTTGGAAAGTACAATGTGATTGGCTAAGCCTGGGAAAGGAATGTTGTCTTCAGTTGAGCAGGCGTTTGTGGGGAGGGAAGAAATACGAGCTCCCCTAAAAACGCCTGCGTGGGAGGCTACGTAGGTGGCTGACGGAGATTTAATTGCATGGTAACGCTAACCCTTGCGGTTAGAGTAATATCATAAATTAAAGCGGCTGGAGTTTCGTCCGGCTGAATCACCTTCAACGTTAACAAACGCACTTTACTGAGTCCCTAATTTAAAATCAACATATAAACTGCAGTAAAGCATTAATGAGTTTGTTTTAGGAAAGTGTCACTTAAAAGAAAGAGATCATTTTATCTTAAAAATAACTGAATGGATAACTTATCAGCTTGGAAAGTAAGACGAAAAATTGCTTTTCAGTTCCAGTTCAGAGAGTATTTAAGACACGTTTTCCAGTGTATATCTCTCCTTATACGACGCAAATGGAACTTAACTGTACCTTTAAGGGATGGCCTCGTCCTCGTGTGGCTTGGTACAATCCAGATCGTAAACTAATCATCAACGGATCTGAAAGCTTTTACCTCTACGAGCAGCTGGTTGGACAGGACACCTTATCTTCTGTTCTTCGAAATCCTAATATCCAAGAAAAACACGAAGGGGGTTATAAGTGCATAGGAACGAACAACATTACTGGATGGTCGACTAACAAAAGTCTGTCAATTCATCTGAATTATTATTGTAAGTGATCTGATTACTTTAAATAAAGCCACTAATAAACCGGAGTAAGTAAAACCAGCTAAATTTCTGTACCAGTTTAAACCCTTACGTAGACCCCTTTTTTCAATCAGGGCCGGGTTGTTCAAAACCACCGGGTTAGAGCAAAATTTAATTTCAGATGTTAAAGCTATAGAAAACAAAGTCAGTTTAATTTTTTTTTCTACAATTTGATGAATGGATGCTCTAAAAATTAGAGAAACCTTATCTGTGAAAGTGTTTTTGAACAGAAGGAATATGAGCCATTGGCGCTAATCGGCCCTCGAACAACTAGATCCAGGTTAATAAATGGGTACTAGAAACATAACGTTGGGGTTGTCCTGTTGCAATGAACAGACGTACCATCCAGATGGAATTAAATATTGGGTGCTTCATGTTTTAAAAACCAGCTTCTGACTTCCACTAACACGAGACATCCGGAGTGAAATGATTTCAAAGGATAATCCAGTCGGCCACCTGAGGCAGATGTATCCTAACTACATCAATGATATACTTGCCAAATAGTATTACGTGTTCTAGCTAGGTAAGAGCGATTGTCCGGCCAGATACGAAAAACCACCAAACAAAACTACCCTTAAAAAATGGACAAAAAATGTGTGGAAACTATTCCCCTACGAATGCAGTGACACGAAGCCTGAGGAAAGGGATCAAGCAAAAAATAGAACACGAAATACCTTGTTATATAGAAAACTCCAAAAAAGCAGTAGACCTACACCGTTCTAAGGCTCTTACTTCAGTGATCCCCTTTAATCTGCACCTCCATTGTTTTCAGGTATAGGAACATTGTTATTTGAAAACCCCTATTGTTTTCCCAGCTAATCAAAAACAATCTTTCAAATTGGTGCGGGATCGCCTCAAAAAAGACAAAATTTGAGAGGATGTAGGTGTAAATACCTAAATACATATATACCGTTAATAGCCTAACAAACGTCCACTTCTAAATAAAAGCCTCTTATCTAATAAACGCCCCCTCTACGCTGTTAAAATTATATTAGACGCCTATCTCTAATAAACGCCCGATTTCTCAATAATAAAATTGGAAGTTGCAAATGTTGGTCTTAAAGGAGAGAAAGTAATAAGAGGTAAACCTCTTGGAACAAGGGCGAGACAACAGCAAAATAAACTGACATATGGTGTAGCCTCCGGAAATCGGGCACAGGCCACATAGGTCGGAGGCGAGAGCTGTTACCACTGAGCCACCCTTGCGTTCTTAACCTGTTTAGCAGACACAATCAGTTAAAAGAGTGCTATATAAAACACCCCACGGTTGCTGAAGGATTGTTTTCATCCACTTGCTGAGGGGTCATTAAGGACGGCGTGTTACTGAAGAGAATAGGAGAGAAGGCGTAAAAGAGAAAAGCAGACGAACAGCTACAATCGAAAAGTAAAAAACCATGATCATCGTGATGCCCCATTTGCCATTTGCCACATTTATATTGTTACAAATACTCTGGACTCAGTATGGGAGGGACTGGACATAGGGCTGTACTGACGCTGCACCAGTGAAACGCAGCAACTATTTTTTTAAAAATATTATTTGTTTATAATATTTTTCATATTTTCGAATATAGGTCTTAGTCCTCGCGCCCCGCAAATCTCTTCTCCCATAGTTTTGGTGACAGCCTTTACCAACGTCAGCTTACGATGCCTGGTTGCAGTACAACCAAGCGCATGTCATGACAACGAATTACAGTGGTATTTTAGCAACATCTTGACGTCCTTAAAATCCGGTGAGAAGTATGAAATTCAAGAAAGGAAAACCAAGACAAAATGCAAAACAGATTTCATTATCACCATTTTTAACGTTACTGAGGCTGATGAGGGGAAGTATGAATGTACCTCGTTCTGCAAGAAAGACCATCCCTTATTTAGCAGGCGTTCTACAATCCAGTTGATGGTATTCCCTTTACAAGCAGGTTCACCAGCAGGTTCACCAACAGGTATGAATAATTGTGTGATAATTAGCAGTGCGCTTAACGATATCACCCGCTTAGTGGCAACCATGGACAGCTGTTTTGCCCTTATTGGGGCTCATCAGGGTTATGGTTTTGCGCATGTGTAAGGTACTGGCCATACCGCAATCTCGTTCCCAGAGTCCGCGCGTTACCCTTGTCCAGCGGAACAAGAGTAACACGGACTCTGGGAATCGAACGAGATTGGCCATACCGCGGAGTTGGTACGACTGTGCCTCAGTGTTTATATTGGTGCGGGATTTTTTTTCACATCTTATGCGGTAGTATATAATAATAATAATAATAATAATAATAATAATAATAATATTAACATTAAACAATTTATATAGCGCCAGAAAGTTTTTTTCAATGACGACAAATTAACAGTCAACATTAATACACAGCAATAGTAAATAATAAATTAATAAGTCAGTAAGTAACAAAACTTAAATACAGCTTCAGCACACAAAAAAGAAAATAAACAACAAAAAATTGTAACAGTAGAAATAAAAGGTATTGGGGGATAAAAGCCTGTCAGTTGCCACCTTTTTATTAATATTGCTGGTTTTCAGTGTCACGCCATTCAAAAGAGATTAAAATAAAAATCAAAACCGTTCAATAGATAAAGTCCAGAATCTGGGAAATGAAAGGAGGTAAATATGCAAAAGACCCTCGCCAAGATTCAGGCCAGAGGAATATTTCGTATACGAGATATTTGAAGAAACGTTTTACCCAAATTTATAGTGGAGCCCCATAGCTAAAGTAATCTACCCATCCCAGAAAATTTGGTAATCTCGTGACCGTACACCGAACGAACGATCGTCCGTCCGCACCACAGGGAAACCAATGTTTACTCTTACACTTTCTAGCCAGTTTGGGAGCCCAAGAGAAAACTAATTGCACATCAATGTTGTGATCAATTGACAGCTGTCAAAACAGGGTATCCGCTGACCAGTATCACCCGACCGTACCGCGGGCTCAAGTATCGACCCATCGAGGTCGAGTATTTTTTTGAAGTTATCCGTTGACAAATTACCAGTTTCAAATGATCGCAGGCTCTAGTTTATTTTTTCCAATGATTCATTTGAAACATGTTGTGTTTATGTCACTATGGCCCCGCACTATTAATATTTTGATTTCAAACTGACCTCGGACGCGAAAATTCAGCCAGTTTTTTAAAAATACAGGCGGAGAACACCTTTTCTTACCATGGACACGCATTGGTCACGCTCTGCGTCCAATTTTTATACTCTGATTGGTCAAAATTTGACAGGTTAGTTCATGGGAAAATTTATGCAGCATCTTGAAAGTTGTTTACTTTGACAGCTTGCGCTGAAGCTTACAGAGTTTTGTGTCAACTTGTGATGTTTTTAACTGTCTTTTTCCACGGGATGTACAAAATGAAATACAGCTGCCATCAAGAGTCTCCTGTTATTCATGGCTGGTTTGTTTATTCGGTTTTTGGTTGACAAATGCGACGCTTGTCAAAATTCGGTAATCCGATTTCGGACGGCATCGTTTTCGTTTTTCACCTTGCTTAATGCGTAAGAGGGTTTAAAAGTCTTAAGCAACTGTGGCCTTCCTTGATAGCTTTCAGGAACTGAATCTCGAATGGTAAGCCTGAGTAATTATTGTATTTGATGTTTGTTTTTGTTATATCTAATTTCATGTAGTCGAGCGTAGTTTATGCGGCAAGTTTATGCACGTTTGTAAGGTTTGAGTCAATGATCTGACCTAGTGTCAGGTTTGATATAAGCTTACAATCCAGGATCGTTATCAAATTTGATAACCATGTGACGTCACAACATGGTGGCCATTTCAATAGTTGGGAATTTTCGTATTTGCCTTTCTTTATCCGAGATTTTGTCCAATCTTATTCGGTGTAAACCCGTCAGGTACCCATGGTTCTGTTCGGCAAGACCAAGGAGCTTCACATGTTTCAAAATGGCAGATGTGTATCACGCGTATTGAAGTAAATTTCCCTCTCAAAGTGAAGCGTTCACCAGATTTTTGTTCCGAGATCAGGTATGTTTTTCCACTTCGTTGTTAAATTTAATGTACTTGTCGATTTTTGTGAGAGTTGCAAAAAATCTGGCGTTATATCCAACGTTTATGCTTTCGATTCAGCATTGTTGTTATTGTTGTGCACAATCTCTAAAAAAAGTGCATCAGGTATTTTTATTCGCAATGCGCTTTAAATAATGTCGGCCATATTTGATTGATGTCTTCCTCAAGGTGCTGAGATGGCAGATGATGCCCATAGAAGCAAAATTTCAAAGTTGTGTCGCCTTTGTGGCAAGATCGCGTCTTCAAATACCTCCAGACCACGCAACAGATATGACTCTTCGTGCTATACGACTCCACACTTCAGTAACGCAAAATTTATTTACACGTGAAACATGCACTAAACTGGAAAATCCGTTTCTTTCGCAATTCTTGACCAAAAACTTTCATTTTGGTATCAATAGAAAGCTCAAGAAATGTAGTTGTTATAAAACGATTTGGTTCTGACGCGCCGTATAAAGGAAAATTGTTTTTTGAAAACATGAGAGGAAGTGACTGCGCCCTGAAATTGTTCAAAACCGCTTAACACTTAGTGACTTTCAAAAATTATTGTAAGTCAAATTCCCTTCGCCAAACAACAGCCAAAGTTCTAGCATAAAGCTCAACTATTATAGTACACATTACGAAAAGTTTTGACCGAGTTCGAATTAAATTGCAACAGATATGACTCTTCGTGCTATTCGACTCCGTACTTCGGTAACGCAAAATATATTTACACGTGGAACATGCATTCATTTGTATATGCAAATTTTCAGTTTTCCGCTACAACGGCTTTCGCTACCTGTACAATAAAAAATTTAAACAGTTATTTGTATATGCTAATCAATGGAAGGCATACTCGTTGTCTGCATGTTCCGTTTTTGTTTCATCGACAGATCTATGGACAACAACCATCATCATCGACATCATCTCCTCGTGACAAGAGGAAAAAAGCAGAATGAACTTCGAAAAAACAAACTTCTGTAGACGATGTTAAAAATAAAACCTCTATCCTTAACAGAATAACCAATGTCTTCCATCACTGTGTCTCTTTAATTTGAACATTTCAGTAGAAACAAATTATGTATGAGTTTGATGATTTGTTTGAAATACACGAAGCTTTCCGCAGAGGTCTTATTTGGAAAAATGCGTCTCAAATACAATTTCACCAGTTTTACAATCTACTGCAAGATGTCTGTTATAAAAAATTGCCATTTACATGAGTTGCTGTCGCCGCCGTACTCCTTTCTATTTCTGAAAACATCTCGACATCGTCCGCCATATTGAATTCAAGAACGCTTTCCCCCAAATTAGGTCACGTGAACGAAAATTTGAACAGCGATTGGCTCGTGGTTTGTTTTGGTCGAGGTTATCAAATTTGATAACGATCCCGGACTGGCTTACAGAACTTCAAAAGGCCTTCAGATATATTTTCTCACCGCAAATAGAAAGACAACGTTCCGAAGAATATGTAGTTGTAAATTTGGCTGTAGAAAGAAACCTTTGAGCGATTTTCTTGCTTCGAGGAGTTCATCTTTGAAAAAAGCAAACACCGGGAGGCCCGCTTAAAGTAAAACATAATTAACTTAAGCTTAAAGACTCAGGATTTTTAGACACGCTTTAATACCTGTCTACGTGAATGAAAATTGTTGCTTCTGTAAATGTTTCACCGAATTATATTTCTTTTATTGATTGTTAGTAGTCTCTCTTGCAATTTTAATCGCTTGT